CTTTACAACCTAACCCAGTTTGGGGGCTTCCCTGGTGGCGCAGGAGCTTAAAGTCTCAGTACTTAAAGCTATAGTCAGCTACTGCAGTGTGAGTTCAATCCCTAGTCAGGGAGCAGACCCACATGCCACAGCAGACCTTTCCTGTCTCACCCACTGCTCCCCTCAGCAGCATATTTCAGTCAATCAGCCTGTTCCACTCCCCACTCCATCTCTGGTGAGTTCTCTCTCTCTCTCTCTCTCTCTCTCTCTCTCTCTCTCTCTCTCACACACACACACACACACACACACACACACACACACGCCACCTCTGGCTTATACCCTAGTTTTTGTATGCATAAATAAATCTTTAACCTAACCCACTTTGAATGAGGCACATTCATTCAAGACACCTTAAAGGAAGCTGAGAAAAATCTCAACAGGGCTACAAGGTGAAGAACAGAGGGAAGCAACCCTATCTGTTTATTCAGAGCTCACTTGGACAGAAAACCGTACAAGTCCGTACAAGTCATGAGAGAACTTAAATATTTTAATAGCTACACTTTAGAACATCGGAAGAACAGGAGAGATTTGTTTTAATAGTACATTTAATGCAATACAGCCAATATTACCATTTCAACCTATAAGCAATAGTTTAAAAACCATCAGTAAGCTCGTTGCTGGTTGTTTTTCCAGACAAAGTATCTAAAGTCTGGTGTGTGTTTCACACAGGAGCGCATGTCCTTGAGGACTGCTCACATTCCAAGTGTCCAAGGCCACACGGGACCAGAGGCTGCGGCGCTGGCCTGTGCAGGTCTAGACTCTAAAGTGGGGCACTGAGTGGGCGGTGGAGGCAAGCGGTGAAGGAAAGAGGGGTGCAGGACCACTGACCATTGGGGATGATTCCCTGGGTGACTCTGCTTGGGGTCTGGCGAACCTGGAGCTAAGCCCAGGACTCCTGGGCGGGGCGGGGTGGAGGGGGCACCCACCTTGTTCTGGAAGAAGCCCGCGGAGCCGTGGCGGATGGCCATGCGGGCCGTGTAGAGCAGCGTCTCGCGCACCGTGAGGTTGCTCAGCAGAATGTCGCTCTGTGGGAGAGGGAGGCGTCAGCAGCATGGGGGTGGACTGCCCAAGGGGGCGGGGACCCGGGTCAGGGACGTGCCCACCTGCAGCACGTAGGAGAAGCAGTCCTGGAACTGGTCACGGTGCAGCACTCGGCCATTCACGTACACCTCACCCAGGAAGGTCCCTGTGCGCCGCAGCCTCCCGGATATTGCATCCAGCAGCGTGGTTTTCCCCGAGCCTGAGAGGCGACAGGAGAACGGGGAGTCGCTCCATGAGGTGTTGCTGGCAAGTCCCAACACCCTCCGTGACCCTCGGTCCCGACCTGACTTGTCATCTCTTTAGCCACGTACGTGGTCAAATTTCCATCCTGGCTTTCCCCCTGAGAAAAGGATCAAGCTTTTCTCTTACTCAAGCCAGGACTGGAGGGGCTTTGTCTGACTGTTTGCTTGGAAAGCTCCTTCTGGTCGACGGAAAGAAAATATAGGGTCAGAGGTTCGAGGACTTCTGAGTTTCTTTTCGTGGCCCTGTAAGATGGCCGCAGGTTCAGGGATGTGGGACCTGACCACCAGCTACATCAACATCGCCACCTGCCAGCCTCTCACTGAATGAGATTCTGCCTTTTAATAACACCCTGGGTAATTCTCTTGCAGTTTGGAGACTGAAGAACACTTGTTGAGGGAGCCCTTGGGTAAAACCAAATAGACCTCAGACCTCACTGAGAGCCCAGCTGGGTGTAATGAACTTCCCGCTGAGAAGTTGTGGAGAAGTAATTGCCTCCTGTTGAAGTGGCTGGAGGAAGATGTTCTCCTGGTTTGCTTTTTTCTGGGGTTGGAGGTTAGGTAATAACTTCAGGATAAGGAAAAAAACATGCCCTGAAATTTCCCAGTCATGACACCAGATCTCATGTTGTTCTCTAACCAAGAGCCTCCCTAGCATTACATTTTAGGGAGCTAATCTTAGCAGCAGGATCAAGCTGCTGATAGCTTAAGCTGTCCTGTTCTGAGCTAACAGGACAGCTCATAGATTCCCTCTCTGTCACTACATCGAACTGGCCTCCCTAAGGTCATCAAGGCTACGTCCTTGTTGCCAAATCCACTGGGAACTTCCTTGTATGCTATTTGACATCTCAGCATCTGATCCTCCAGTATTTGATACTGCTGCTTGCCCTTCTCTGTAAATCTCTCTCCACTGGCTTTGATGCAGCTCACCGCCTAGGTTTAATCCTGCTGGTCTGGCTGCCTCTCAGCCGGCTGTGGAGGATTCCCTGGGCCTTCTACCCTTTCCTGCCACACATTCTCATTGAGCGTCAGTGAGCACCAGCTTGGTAACTAGCATATGAAGGAGCCACCTTAGAAATAGACTCTCCAGCCCCACTCAAGCCTTCAGATGAGTCACCTGACCATCTGATTCATCGGATATAACCTGAGACTTCAGACAGAACTACCCAAATAGCCACTTCTAGATTTCCAATCCACAGAAACCTGAGAGGTGTTAATGTGTCCTATCATTGTAAGTCACTTAGTCTGGGAATCCTTGTTTACACATTAAAAATAGATAACTAATACAGTCTTTTGTGAACATATGTCAAATATTTACTAACTCATTAATGAAGGATCCAGCAGCATCACAAACTTATTCAAAAAAAAAGAAACAAGAAATGAAATGTATAGTGATTGAGGAAAAGAAGACTGAAGGAAATTATAAATTGAGTCTTAAAAATGGTAACTGTTGCGGGGATTACAATTGAGATGGAAAAAATGTACAAAATGATGTAAAAATAAACTGTTATAAAATTTTTAAAAAATGGTAACTGTCACAGGATATGATCCAAGGATGTAGATAACAAAAAAAAATTGACAAATTGGACTTCATGGAAAAATAACTAAATCTGTGCATCAATTGTAAAGCAACCCACAGTATGGGAGAAAGTATTTGCATATTATGTATCTGATAAGAGGTTAATACCCAGGATATATATAAGAACTTCTACAACTCAACAACATAAGATAAATAGCCTGGTTCAAAATTGGATAAAAAACTTGAATAGACTTTTCTCCAAAGAGCATAGATGAATAGCCACGGGAGCTGCTTTGGCAGGCAGCTACACACTCCTTGGCGCTAAACCACCCCCCACCATTCCCACCCCCCCCCCCAACCCCATCCCAGGCACTGTAAAGACTAAGGCTGAATTCAGGTCAAGTGTCTAACCCCAAAGAAAGACAGAAAGATGAGCCAGAGCCCTGGGAGACAGGCCCAGAGGAATCAGTAACATTTAATTCCTAACAAAATTCTGGCCCATAGTATCTTGTTAAGATTTGATAAAGCCAGATATAATACCAGAATATTATTTTATCCTCTAGTCTTTCCTGTATGGTTGGAAAACATCACATAAAAAAGAAGCAACAGCTGTAGGGGTGTCTTTCTCTTGATTGGATTCCCTTTCCTGCCTCATCTCAGTGGGGGGTGGATCAGGGAGTTTGTGTTTGTCCCAGCTGTGAAATGTGAGAACTTATGTCACAGAAAGGGGTGTCAGCTCTCTCAGGTCTGTTTTAGAAGCTTCGCATTGGGCATTTACAGCCATGATTAGACTTTATTCTGAGCTCTCCCTCGTGGCCCTCTTACTACAACTTGAACCTGTTTCTTGCAGGCAGTGTCGTGGAGGGCAGGACATCCCTTTCTAGACTTACCTGAGCTCCCCAAGATGCACATGACTTGGCCGCTCTCGATGTATAAGGAGACGTCCTTGAGGATCTGCCTGTTCCAACGCTGCCGGCAAGAGGCGAAGTCCCACCATGGCCCCATGCGATGGCTTTAAAGGGGAAAGGCAGCGTGGGGGCCTGGAAGGGGCAGCCCCGTGCCCCCAGCATCTCTCGCCAGCTTCCTAAGTGTGCTGGAGCGGCTCTGTAGGCTCTGGCGGGCGGTGACTGGAGACAAGCATTGACAAGCAGGGCCTGCCTGGCAGCTACTGTAGCTCCAGCTTTCCTGCTGGCGGGGAGGTGGCACCCAGGAGCTGCTTATTCCTTCCAGTGACCCCTCATTCATTCACCTGGCCCCACTATGCCTTGGGTTCCTGGCCCCCAGTTTCCTAGGCTCTAACACCCCCACAGGGTGTGTGGTCTATGGGGAAACAATGGGAAGGAGGGGGAAGGGACGGAAGGCAGGGGCTGAGCAGAGCACTGGCTGTCACAGCTTCCAGGCTCCTGTGGGCAGGGGGAGGGGCCTTTCACCACAACTGCCCTTTCCCTCCTCCCTCCACCTTGGTCCACTAAAGAAGGAGCCCAAAGCCTCCCTGCATATCCCCCCACTAGAGAGAAAAGCCAGCAGAGGGGGTGAGAGGCCCAGGTACCTTAGACCCACCAGGCCTGTCCCTGACCACAGCTCAAAGCCCCAGTTTCAAGCTCCCAGCAAGGGAAAGAATATCACTTACCTGACACTGTAAGAGACATGGAGGATGCCCAGGCTATGTGGGGGCTTTGAAGCAGCAGCAGGGACCTCCTCTGGGGAGTGCTGGGAGCCTCTGTTGCTTGGGTGTCCCCAGGACCCCTCAGGGGTCAAAGCTGGGAGTTCACTCATGACCAGCAGGCAGCAAAGCTTGGCAAAGTTTCTGCTGGTCTGACTTCCCCAGCGTGGCCTCAGCTGAGAAGCCAGCGGCCGACTGCCCCACCTGACACTCTCCTGGCCCAAGAGTCCTTTCTCAGGCCTTCCCAGCACTGGGACTAGAGTTCGGCCAACAGTGCCATTATCTGATGTACCTTTAGCCAGAGTGTGTGTATTATCTTGGCTGCTGTGGGCAGAACACACAGCCTGTGTTTGTAGGCGGGATTGCCAGAGAGGAGCACCGGGAGAGAGACGGTGGCACAGCAAACGAGAGCCAGAGGGGCCCAGCTCTGGAGAAGAGAAAACACTGGCCCTGGCAGGCAGCAGTGGCCATCTAAAGGAAGCGGCAGCAAGGGGGCCCCATGGCTGAGAAGGCCTCAGAGGACACAGGGCAGTGGACTGAGGCTGCTCCCCAGAATGCCTTGGTGAGTGATGGGAAGTCTCTGGGGGTACTAGAGGATTCAGACCTCTCTTCTGTCAGGAACTTCTATTCTAACACCACCAAGAGCACAAGCAAAGTGAGGATGGATGGCAGGGCTCTGTTTCGCGCATCAAAGGGCTGAGGCAGGGGCCTGGGGTTGGAGGGGACATGAAGTGCCTTCCTATAGGCACATAGTGTGCTTGCCACCTGGGCTGATGTGGCTTTTTCCCATAAGACTGCACCTCTAAATTGTGCTCACACATACCAGGGGCTCTGGTGTCTTCTTGTCTCTGTGGCTGTCAAACTCAGAGTCTCAGTGGCAGTGAAGTGATGAAACTGGTGGCTTTTGTGGGACACTGCAGCGTATGCTCTATAGCACTATAGCTAGCAACCGTGAGATCTGGAAGGGAGCTGGAAGCAATAGGCCTCAGCCGTGGGGTCAAGAGACTGGGGTACCAGGTTTCTGCCTTCATTGTACCTAGAAATGGCCTTCGACAGAAACATTTTGGGTGGGGTTTGAAACAGGAGACTAAATTGGAAAATAGGGAACACTTCCCACCCTTCACCCTCACTGTATCACAAGTACTGAGGCTTCTAATACTTTGTTGGGCTTTGAGTTGCTGGGACCTGACTTCAGCCAGGCCATTACTGGTTAGGTCTGCAGCCATTTGGGCCAGTCCTTGCCAGGGGCCCTAGGGGTCCTCACCACAACTGGAGCAGCCTCATATACTATAAAGTCAAGGGCAGCTTTGGGGATACCTTCTCTCCAAAAGTCCGACCATTCAGCCACCACAGCTTAGAACTGCCAAACCAGGGGTGCTTGCACGGTGCCTGCCCTTTCCCATGACTTTTTCTCCAATTCTGTTACTCAAGGTGCCAAGTGATAGTCTGCCCCTAACTGGGCAGGGAATAACAGGACAAGGTCATGTGCAATCTCCCTAAGAACTGTTAAATAGCTTCTATCTCCCTTCCCCATCTTTCTTACAACATGGAAGGCCAGATGCAGTTTCAGAAGTTCTAGAGCTTTTTGAAGCAGCAGCTAGGGTGTGGTAGTGCTGGAGGATCAGCTTGCAGTTGATTCTCAAGCCCCCTTCTCTGCCCACCCTCAGCTCTGAAGGCAACGTGATACACGTCTGTGTGGTCACCCCATCCGGTGTGGTCAGCCCATCCTGCTACCCCACATTCCAACCACACCACCTAAGACCCTTGCCGGGTGGCCTGGGGAACCTGGTTGGGGGTTACTGGCAGTTCACAGCAGGATGGACCTGGCTCCAGCTGGCCCTGGGAATGGACTTGCGGCTATTTGCACAGGGAATCCTGGGGTCCTGGGTACCTGGAAGAGCAAACGCCTTGGCCCACAGACTCCTCAGTCCACAGCCAAGAGCATGGCCAGAGGGGACAAGGTCTTGGGCAGACTGAGTGAGAGCTGCACTGAATGCTTAGTAAAAGTCTGGGCTCCCCTCTGCACCTCTGCACCCCACCCCTGCTTCCTCCCAGGCACCAGTCCTCAGCACATCACTGCATTTTTTGAGGACATGGGCTCCTCATCTGAGAACAAGAAACTTGTTCTCCCTGAGTTTTCTTTAGTCTATGCTTCTGACTCAGGAATTTGATCAGAAGTTAATATAAGGAGAAATTACAATGTAGCCCAGCAGGAGCAGAGCTGGTTACCTACAAATAAACCTGCTTTTGCTTTTTGGGGTGTCACCTGTCAGAAATTCAAGTGATGTTCTGACAGTCGTGCTGATTAAGATGTCAGTGGAATAGATATTTAAGTATTTGAAAAATACAGAGAATTTGTCAAAACCTCAGGAAGCGTCTAACAAATCCTTCCTGAGAGGCAAGGAAAATATTTCAAAATGGGACAGAGGCTGTCTCCAACCCAGCCACAGATTCTTTTCATCTTTTTTCTTCTTTGAAAGTTGAACAGCTGGAGCAGCTCTAGCAGGCACCAGCGTCAGATGGTGGATGAGGCTTAGGCCCAGTGAAAGGGTGCTGTGGGGAGCTGAGGAGGAGGTCACGCCCCTCTATGCCCCCCTCTTTCCTTCCTTCTCATTCTCTGTCACTCCCCTGGACCCCAGCACCCTTCACCGCAAAGCGCGCTCCTGGAAATCAGAACCCACCTGAACTTGCTCCAGACCCAAAATGCTCAGCCCTCCTTCCTCAGCAGTCCCTTTACCCCGATATCTAACTGGGGAGACTTTTGGGCCAGGTTTTTGCTTGAAGAAACAATTTCTGATCGAATTCATCTTATGACAATTGACTAATGTCTCTCCTGCCGCTATCTGCTTTGAAAAACTAAACAAACAAGATACACGTTAGCACAAGTATCTCTCTCAACAATTGGTAGAATGTCTGGGAGGCTAACAAAATAAAATAGAAAAACTAGGCTGTGCCTGGGCTGGTGGTGGTGGGTGAGAGACAGACCTTTGGGAAACAACAGCGTTCTGAGCTGTGCGTGCCCCTCCCACCCCAGAAGCTTCGCCCCCCATCTCTGAGGGCAGAGACCCCTTCACCACTTCCGCCTCCACCTCTGGCCTCACCTTGGATGGCAGCCCCGGGGGCAGGGTGAGGTGGGAGGATAATGATATTCTACTCCAGGCCTGCTCTCTCCAGCTGAAAAGATTTCTCGAAGTATTTCAAGACAAGCCAGCTTAGAGAGAGTGGACTGCGGTGTACCCACCAGCAAGAGCCTAGAAGCCCCCTGCACCATCTGCTTCCTCTCTCCCTCAGCATCCTCCTGCTCCTCCAGTCCTTCTGCTGGTTAGGGGTCTTTCTTTCCCATGTTTTTCTGCATGGTTGAGTATGTGTGTGGTAATAAACAAATATTAAGCAAGTTAAGTAGCTACTGCCTGCTGTTTCCATCCTGTCCCTGCACTCTGGGGTTATTCTTGGCCTGCAACAGTTGGTGGCCTGCATTTACTTCTCTCCATTTCCATTGGTATGCAATACTTTGACAGCAATAATCAGATATTATTTTTACATGAGTTATAAGAAAAGCCATTTTCACATAAAGCACACTTGGGTATTGGGCATGCACTGGAAAGTCAAAAGACTAAGTTTCTCGACTATTGCCTTTTTCACTGTCTTGTGCCAAATGCCACAGCTGACGCCTGATATGGGCTTCCAATAAGGTTTATTGGATGCTTGCTTGACTGGGTAAATGCATCAGGGTGAGATCAGTGGCTTGAAGGGAAGAAGACTGAGTCAATAGGAACTGATTCAGGAACACATTCCTTTTTTCTGAACTGTATAAACAAGAGAGAAAGCAAACACTTTGAAAAAGGAAATCTAGAAGTAGGGTTTTCCTTGTTACAGTCTGAATGATGTAAATGACAGAAGTGATACAAGAGAAAGAACTCAGACCCGCTGATGGCTGATTCCGCTCAGAGGTATCAGTCAGCACCATGAAACATTGCAATGGCTGATGAAGAATAGCAAGATGATGATGCTGATGGTGGCGACATGCTGATTAATGACGATAACAGGGACTTTCTCTGGAAGTTTGCGACTGTATCTCCAATGACTTTGTTGCTCAAAACCCCTCATCAAAATAAGATGCCACTCTTCCCAGGACGTCATTTTCACAGATTTGTTTACTAGCTTGTTGACAGCAGCTTTCTTCTCTCATGCTGGGTATGTGCAGTCTGACACTTGCAGATAGTAAGCCAGATGCTGGGAAAAGCGAGGTAAACATCAGCCCAGCTCACGTCTTCCTGGTGCACAGAGGCCACAGAACTCTCTCTTGTCCACAGGTAGGGCCTTGTTTGCCATAGAGGGCGTGGGGTCAGGATCCATCAGCTTGTGGTTGAGCTTCTCTGGGTCCACGAACTGCATAGAAAGGAAACCCCAAAGCTCTCTCTGAAGGAAAGAGTAAATGCTCCCACTTCCTGAGCTCTTGGGTTGCATCTGCCCAGACCCACCTCTTGTCAATTCAGGACCTCAAAGATGCAGGCTGCGACTTGCCCTCTTGAGTCTCTGACGCCTGCTTTCTGCTATGTCCTCAGCAGAAGGAGCCTCTCGCGTGTGATGTCTCCCACAAGGGCTTCCAGGACAGCTTGTTCTCCTCTGAAAGTGACAACAGTCTCTACTTCACCTACAGTGGCCGTTCCAATACCTTGGAGGTCCGAGACCTCAACTACCAGGTAGAGGCACACCTGAGGGCAAGGTGCGGGGAGAAGCAAGGGAGATCAAACAGGTCCCCCAAGTAGAAGGGAGGGGTGACGGGTGAGCCGCACTGGCTGGGGTCCCTCTGTTCCTCAGGACAGACTCCAGTCCATGAAGATGCCTCAAGCCTTACAGAGATGCCCTCCCTCACCAGTGACACATATTACAACATGAGGTGGAGAGGTATAAAAAGAGAATGTAGACCTCTGTGAAAACACAGTGCAAAAGTACGACCCTGTGGGAAAGAACTCTCTAAGACATTTTTTTGGCCTTAGAGTTTGAAACAATTTAAAATTTTTGGAAAAGTTGGAAAAATGGTATTTCCATGTATTCTTTGTCCAACATCCCCTAACATTAACATTTCACATATCCATATCAAAATTAAGACATTAACCACATTAACCAAGGTATAATGGTGTTAATTATAGATATTATTCAGATTTCATCCGTTTCACATCTGTTTTATAAAATGTATTCTTCCTGAGGCTGATAAAACATCCAGAATGCAAGGACCGCTGAACTTGCAGAGGTTCTCTGGAATCCCCTGGTCAGATTCAAAGATCCCTATTTCCCTTTCCTCCCTGGGGTCAGACCCCAGGTGGCCCAGGTGGAAAGAGGAGGGTCCGAGGCCCCTGTCTGGCTGCCTACGGTTGACGGGCCACCCCACGGGCACCCCACGGTCTTTCTCTGCTCTGCCACTTACTTAGTAGCTGGCCTGGAGCAAGTTACTTCGCTGCTCTGAACCTCATTAACCAAACAGGGATTCTAATAGTACATATGTTGATAGGGATTGAATGAGATAATGGATATAAATTCCTTACACATGGTAAACACTAGGTAAGTCATTCGTAAATTACTATTATTGTTTAACAAAGACAAATCATTTTGCTTCAGATGTTTGATTTCTGTTCTGTAATTACACACGATTTTTATAGCTGATCTTCAGAATTGGCAACTGCAGGTTCAAGTCCTCAGCCAGGTGGGGTCCAGCACCCAGGTGGAGGTAGAGCCTGGGTGGAGCCCCCTGAGGCTGTTGTATATCAGCAGCAGGTTATGTCTCCTGTGACAAATTGGACAGAACTTGCTGAAGACCCACCCCACCCCCCAGTTCCTCCCTGAGGAATCTCCCGTTGTCTCCCCATAGGTGGACCTGGCCTCCCAGGTGCCTTGGTTTGAGCACCTGGCTCAGTTCAAGATGCCTTGGACATCCCACAAGAACTCTCCTGAGCTGGGGATCCAGAATCTGAGCTTCAAAGTGAGGAGTGGCCAGATGCTGGCCATCATAGGGAGCACAGGTACCTCGAAGGGCTCATAGGGAGTGTGGTACTTGGGCAGAGTGGTCCTTGGGCAAATGGATGCTGCTCACAGAACACTATGCTGAGTAGTAGAATCAAACAACAGAGCAGTGGAGAGCAAGGGAGTTTCTGACATGCGCAGTGATGGTGCCTCCTGTGTTTGCAGTTACAACGCCTGTCCTTGGGGATCCCCTGCATTTGTGCACATGTGGAGGTGTGGATTTGTACCCCCATATCATATAGCTACATAAATGATAGGAAAGCCAATAACATTGGAGGGAAATCTTTCCCAGAGGCATCAACTTCAGGGAGTCCTCTAGCACAAGGAGTACCCATTCATTGCTCCCCTCAGGCAGATTCTGGTGGCGGTCAGACAGCACTGGTCACAGCCCCACTCTTGCATCTCAGATACCCTTATAAGTGGTAGTGTGACCTTCAGACAGCTGCAAAGATCAGGAATCTCACAGCACTCAGCAGGTCTCATCTGCAGGCGAATTTGAAGTTGGGAGCGCAGGTGAGCTGAAGGGGGGCTTGGAGAACAGAGATCATCCTCTTTGTTATGTACTACCTTTCTTTCTTCTCACCAGTGTGGCAATTTCTTTAAGGAGCATTTGTAAAATGACCTACTCCTCGATAACTAGAGTGTTCTTCTGTCCCAACATGCTCACATGCACACACACCTACATTTGACAGATGAGAATACTGAAGTCCGTGACGTTGAGTGAGTGGTTTGAGGACACACTTTAGTGCACAGCTAAACCTAGAACTTTGACCTTCTGACTCTCAGATCAAAGCATGTGCCTGTGACATCCTTACCTAGTGTCAGACAAGGCACTTTATACCTTTTAATTAATCATTTCCAGAGGTATTGATTACTCAATTTTTTGAACATCTGCTGCAAATTTTTACAGTCTTCTGATAAGGAAGTTTGGTTTATTGTCTAACCAAAGATCAAATGATATGTTGTCTAAATGCACTTTGTAACTGAAATGACATCCAGAAATCAAGCCCCACCCATCTGGCCCTGCCCCTATAATTCTGATCTACAGAGAAAGTAGATCCTTCAGAGGCCTCCTTGATCTTTGTAACTCCCTGTGACTTCTTGGAGTCCCCACTGCTTCTTTATAAACTGAGAATTGGTGACACATATACCCTGAGATAGCCTCAAGGTTAATGCTGACTACCTATGCTCTGGAGCTCTCAATGCCCCTGATTTGTGCTTAGGAGAGTGAAGTTCAGAGAAGTCAAGCAGGAATGACGCTGAGCAATCTCTAAGGTTCCTGACTTCAGCATTACTTAGCTTCAGGTTTACTTGACTGAAATTAAAGTGACTTCTTAGTTTTATCCATTATACTTTATGTCACACACACACACACACACACACACAGAATGCTGGGTAATTTTTAAAAATAACTTGAAGCAGCCCCAGACAGTTTAGCATCTTATGCAAGATCAGCAGTAACCATGGATATTTTTGATTTGTTGGAGATGTCAGCCCTTTTAGAAGGGCCTTGAATGCCAGTAGGCTCTTGTCCTGTTTCATGGAGCAACTCTCTGATCACTCCAGGCAGTTTCCTTGGAAAATCTCATAAGATTCTTTTGTTTAGGGAACCTCACTTTCTGCTCCCTGGCTGGGAACCCCACTGGCAAAGTCCCTGGTGCTCCCACTAGCTGGGTCTGCTATTATCTCCAGACAAGGGAGCAGGTCTACAGTCCCTCTGATCCCATCCTCCCCACAGAAGCGGCCAATGAGTTAACATGCCAGGGGCTGTCCACAATTCCTCAGGCCAGTCATGGGGTAGACAACAGGGTCCTGATCCCAAGTCGGGGAAGGTCTTTTGAGACCCTCTGGTCAAAATTGAAAAGAGGAATTCACAGACTCGGGTGAGAGCAGAGGAGGAGTCAGCGTTTATTGATTATTAAAAGAGCAAGAAATAAGTGCCCTGGGGAGAACTCTCTGGGCATGAGAGAATGGGGGAGGTTCTGGGTCTAGGGGCAGATGGAAGTTTCAGGAATGGGATTTGAGGACAAAGGGATTAATCTTTATTGTCTGGGAAAGCAAGGAGAGTGGACTTGGCTAGTGTCCATTATTATGGCTAATTGTGGGCGCCAGTCAAGTGCAGCTTGCTGGGGCAGCACTTGGGACTAGCCCTGAGGTAAACACCTCCTCGAGGCTGAGCGCCCACAGCTCCGAGGTGAACAGGTCCAGTCTCAAGTTCTGTGACTCCCTCTGCTCCTGAGTCCTTTAACTCTTCCTTTTCCCATAGGAGTTAACTTGATAAGTTGTGGAAAGATAACTCAGGAATGACCACGCTGGGAGAAACCAGCAAAACAATAACAACCATAAACCCAAGGTGCCAAGGAAATTTATGGGAGTGAGTGTCCAGGTCTGAAGTCATATGGTTTAACATCTTGTTTACCAGCCCATAGGACCAGTGCCAATTGAACAGGAAAATTTCTGCAGTTTTTCCTTGTCCTGTCCAGGGACCTTTGCTATCCCAATATCTGACACAGTCTTCCCTCTGGCTCCTCTCTTGGCTATTTTGCACCATCTGAGCTCCCACAGAAAAGGCAGTATGCAGTGTGCACCCCACATTGAGAGCAACTAGCTGGTCAATGGAAGGATCACTGGGAAGCTTCCTGTTTAGGTTTTTAGCATTGAAGGCATGTGGTTACCTGCAGGACACATGTGAGCGTGGCAAGGAGTCATGGCTACATGTCAAGGACTGGCATTTTCCTTATTTGAAAAGAACTTGGAAAAGTTGCTCCCCCAAAAGAAATGTTCAATAAGGAAACCAAAACCACCCCTGGGTGAGTTGGACAGAACTTGCTCTCAGCATGGTTTCCAAGAAGGTGCCTCCAGAATCTGAACCCAACTAATATTTGTCAAAGAGTCACCTGGAATACTTTTGGAAATCTGATCCAAACTGAAGCTTACTTTCCCAAATCAATAGAAATTGTTCTGTCATTCAAAAGTGGATGGTGTTCACATGTGTGCAATAGATTAAAGTAAAAAAGCACCATTGATAAAAATAAGAGACCAAAAAAGTAAGAGATGCAAAAAAAGAATTATTTTAAGAGAGATGGATGTAGGGAAATTCAGAACACACAGGTACACTGTGCTGTAATTTTTAAATCATCTATACATCTGTTACTTCTCTATTTCTTCTCCCATATTTCTCAATAGAGTTTTTTTGCATTTTCAAAAAGACACCCTATTAATTCTCTAGATTAGCCTTTCCCACAAAGCCAGCTTTTGAGCCTAGTGACGTTGAATGATGAAATGTAGCCAGCATGTTTGCAGCCCAAGTAGTTAGGCTTCACCGTGCAATTTAGGAAGTCTTGCTTGAGGTGGGGAGCCGGGAATGGGGGTGGGGGGCATCGGGAGAAGGCTTAGCACTGCAGGACACCCAACTTAGCCCGTGGCAGTCCCCACCTGAACTTCCAACATCAGTGTGCGTCTAACCCCCTAAGTGAGCAGATGAATGTCCCGAAGCTCAGGAGCTGGGTCTGCCCAGGGGGCTGGTCACCTCTGCGAGGCTAGAGGCGTCCGGCGTGGCTAGAGCCGAGGCAGCGAGCAGCGACTTCCAGGCTGGGCCCCTCAGAAGCTCTGTTCTCAGGGTGTCTTTGCTGATTTTGCAGACTGTGGGAGAGCATCTTTGCTGGATGTGATCACTGGACGAGGCCCAGGGGGCAAGAATAAATCCGGGCAAATCTGGATCAACGGGCAGCCCAGCACGCCTCAGCTGGTGAGGAAGTGCGTGGCCCACGTGCGCCAGCACGACCAGCTGCTCCCCAACCTGACTGTCCGCGAGACCCTCGCGTTTGTTGCTCAGTTGCGTCTGCCCAGAACCTTCTCCCAGGCCCAGCGTGACAAAAGGGTAACCAACTGACCCTGGTGACACCCCCAAACCATGACCTTCCTTGCCCTCGGAGCCTCCTACCTCCCCACCGCAGGGGTCAGCATCAGCATCAGAAAGTCCGCCAGGGGCTCCGCCTGTCCTTTAGTCCTCTTCTCCACACCCCTCCCCTCCATCTTCACCCCACAAGCCCCCCATGCCCCCACGGGCCCTTCACAGCAGGGGACAAAATGTATAATGTGGATTTGGGGTCTGTTTACTTGTTTGGGGGTCCTTGGGCCAGTAGCGAGCCTGGGGCCATGTTCCCCACACTCCAGAGACAGGACAGGACAGCGCCCTGCAGGCGGGAGCTGCACAGACACAATCCGGGAAATGAAGAAGGGAGCTTTGAACCCGTAGGGGGGAGCTGGTGTTTTATACTTTGGGGCACTGTCTGGCCCCGAGTGACCCCGCAGGGGCCTCTAAAGCCTGCGCGCTTCTCCCCGGGGGCAGGTGGACGACGTGATCGCGGAACTGCGGCTGCGGCAATGCGCCAACACGCGCGTGGGCAACACGTACGTGCGCGGGGTGTCCGGGGGTGAGCGGCGAAGAGTCAGCATTGGGGTGCAGCTTCTGTGGAATCCAGGTGTGTGCCACGGGCCCTTGGGGCATGAGGGAGGGGCCTGTGTTGCCCACCTCAGCTGGGCCACACACTCAATGGGGGGTCTTTTCTCTGCTGGGAAGGGATCCTCATTCTGGATGAACCTACTTCTGGGCTCGACAGCTTCACAGCTCACAATCTGGTGAAGACCCTGTCCAGGCTGGCCAAAGGGAACAGGTTGGTGCTCATCTCCCTCCATCAGCCACGGTCGGACATCTTCAGGCTCTTTGACCTGGTCCTCCTGATGACATCGGGCACTACCATCTACCTGGGAGCGGCCCAGCACATGGTCCAGTATTTTACAGCCATCGGCCACCCCTGCCCTCGCTACAGCAACCCTGCGGACTTCTATGGTGAGCCAGGGGGCAGGGCACTTGGTACACAGGGCTCCCCCAGCTTTTCACCTGGTGCCAGAGCATGGTGAGAAGATGCTCTGGGCAGCTCAGAATCCAGGACTGCAGGGGCAGAGCGGGGAGCAGAGCATGCATCATTTTGCCAAGTATCACACACTAGGGACCCAGGCCTGGTAAAAGCACCTCCGCGATAGGTGGGAGAAGTATCTTGTGGGCACAAAAAACAAGGAAACTGCAAGTCCCGGGGCTTGACCCAAGAGGGTTAGGATCAGGGGTTTGGATCAGTTTCTACAGCTGTGGTCTTTCTTCATACTCTGTGGGGAAAATTAGAATGTCTGAGGTCAGGAGGCCACCAGGAAATCTTAAAGCTGTGGCGGGAACCCCAAGGCACTAGGAGGCACCGGGGTCCCAGAGCATGGACACGCCCAGTTGGTGGGGTCATCGGCAGTGAAGCTCTAGTCATGAAAACTGCTTTCAAAACACAGTTAGCTTCCTGTGTTCAGGCCTGAGTGCATGGCCCTCAGGGGAAGTGTGTTCCCCTTGCTTTATTGGGGTCCACAGTTGCCTTTCGGGTGCCTGTCCTGGCAGCAGCAGGGGGATGGCAGAAAGACCCCACAGATGCTCCAGGTCCAGGAAGCAGCAGCATGGCCTCCCCATAGGCCCCCTGAGCCCCAGACTAACCAGGCCAACCAGGTGTAGGGCCTCACTGATATGCATGGTGAAGAGCCCATCCTCCTGAGGGCAGACAGCAGCCCGATGGCGCCAGGCCCCAGAGGGTGTCCCTCTGACCCTCACCCTCACGCCCCTTTACAAATGAAGGGGCCTGAGCTGGAAGAACTGAACCCTCTGTACAAGGCACAGAACTAGGAATCCCACCAGGTGTGCCTACCTAGACTGCTGGCCCTGCCACCCACACCCTCCTCCTGGTACCAACACTCCATCTCCCCCCCTCCGCCCGCCCAACAGAGAACTGGCCACTTTCTCGCCACTGGCTTTCACCCTGTGTGTTTGCACTGTGTGAACTCGCAGATATCAGCACCAGACTGGCTTCCTGCCAGTCTTTCAGCCTCAGGCTGGCCATCCTCAAATAAGGGGGCAGAGGGCACCTGCCAACCTGATGGAATAACATGCAGTAACCCCAGACAGGGGTTACCAGAAGTCAAATGCCTGTACAGACCTACAATACCGCCTCTTTTTCCTTATTTTATATTATTATCATATATATATTTTTTAATATGGGGGATCCTACTACCAGCTCTGGGGTATGTGACCCTCAACAACCTAGGGTGTGCCCAGAGGCTCAGAGCCATAGCTCTGGGGGTGAGGGGGCACAGGGGTTTACACCCCACCCTGGTTGTCCTGCCTTGAAGTGTATCATGAAAATAGGAGAGAAGAGGCAGAGAGGCGAGGAGGTATTTACAAAAGGGAGGAGTGGAGACCCCTTCTGCTGGTTTTATGAAGGCCGTTCTGTGCCCTTCTGGCATACTGGGGCCCCTTAAGAGTAGGCTGTGACTTGGAACTACCAGGTGCTCCCCACATGGGAACCAGAAGGCTGTTCTGCAGCTGATCTTACACCTCCTTCTCCTGGGGCAGTGAGAAATCTGCATATAATAGCTTGGACCCTGGTACCCTCTGGCCAAAACATACCACCTTCAGGTCAGGCTGCTGGAGAAACCAAGTTACTCATTTGCATGACAACAGAAAGGTCATCAGCCCAGACTAGTCTGAGCCCTGACTGCTCATCCTCTTACCCAACATGCACTTGTGGCCAAGGGGTCCTCACAAGCTTCAGGGAGGCAGCCGGGGGCCTAACTGTGGCTGGGTGTGTGGCTGTGGAGGCTCAATGCCTCTTGCTCTGTCCTGGGACTGTCCCATGATGACCGGGTCAGGGAGGCGTGGAGGCCTTGCCTGTAGGTCCTCCACTGTTGTCCTTTCCCCTTTGGATGGAGCCAGGCCCCAGCAGGGCAGGAAAGCAACCCTGGGTGTCTCTGCTACTCTCTGCTCTCGCCTTATTTCATGCTCCATGGTGGGGAGCATACCCTGGAGCCCCCCAGGGCTGATGAATCCTGTAAGCAAACTGGGTCACCCATGGCCCTACATGCTCTGTTTACAGTGGACTTGACCAGCATCGATAGGCGAAGTAAAGAGCGGGAAGCAGCTACCAGGGAGAAGGCTCAGACACTTGCTGCCTTGTTTCGAGAGAAAGTACGTGACTTTGATGACTACCTGTGGAGAGCAGAGGTGACAGAAAGCACAGACCCCTGTGCAGGGAGGTAAGGAGGCTCGGGCGCCTATAGTGACAGAGCCCCACAGCGGGGGCCCCACCCCCATGACACACTCTCCCTCGGCACAGCCCGGGCCTCCCGAGAGACAGCAATCCGCTCCCGCCTCCTGCCAAGCTGCCTGGGCCTGCGCATCAGTTTACCACCCTGATACGGTAATTGCCATTTCCTGGCCTCCATCACCAAAAGTCGTTGTTGCGTCAAATCAGACCCTTTGGGTCTAAAGTGAACCTGGAGAAGGAAGTGTGAGGTAGAGTCAGTAGAAAAAAACAGGTCTTCCTCGGCATCCTAATGCAGTTATAACTTCCAGCCCCTGAATCCTACCGATGGTCAGAACAGTCTCAGGATTTCTCTTACGAGGACACAGCCGATGCCCTTATCCGAATGTCTTTATGGACCGATTGGTCATTTTTTCCCTCAGGATAACTTTAAGTAAAATGTAACCCTGCTAGCTCAGCCGGTCATTTATCAAGCGCCTCCCATGAGATGGGCTTGTTGTCCGTTACCCTCTGTCTCACAGTGGCTCTGTGAGGTGGGTCTCGCCCCCCTGTCTACAGGTGAGAAAATTGAGCATTAGAGAAATTAGATGATGTTCCCTAGCTCTTGGGGCTGTAGAATGCCGGTCCCTCCGCACCTCTTTTGTTTCTTCAGTCGTCAGATTTCCAACGACTTCCGAGACCTGCCCACTCTCCTGGTCCACGGGGTAGAGGCCTGCCTGATGTCACTCATCATCGGCTTCCTCTACTACAATCATGGGGCCATCAAGCTCCCCTTGATGGACACGATGGCCCTCCTATTCATGATCGGGGCTCTCATCCCTTTCAACGTGATCCTGGATGTCATTGCCAAGTGTGAGTGTCATTGGCCCTGGTGCTAAATAATTTCATCATGGTTGTGAAATAAAAGACAATAATTGCTCTTTTCAAGTTCACACATTAATACAAGCATGCAAATGAAAGCAAATGACCAAGGAGTCTTAGCTGTTCCTGTCCTCACAGGATTTATACTTAACAGAAACACACAAGTCACAGAGGCACAAACATCGAGACCAGGATGACTTTATCTGGGCGCCCGCCTGTTTCCTTTTTCTTTTTTGGTAGAAGAATGGGGTGTAGGCAAGAAGTTTGGGAGGGGGTGAGAAGGTTCACCGAAAATAGACTTGGGAAGCAGAACAGGCAGGCGGGTCTACTGAAATGCACTGCTGAGGGGAGCAGCGGGCAAGACAGGAGAGGTCTGCCGTGCCTTGTGGGTCGCTCCCTGACTGGAGCTCAAACTCAGGCCACAGTGGTCTCAACCGTGTAAGGAATGTATACAATCTAACTCTTCTGCATTGCACTCAGACTCAAAAGCAAAGATAGTGTAAATTAATTTCACCTTTTCATTCTTTTTGTCCTCCCTTTCTAGGTCATTCAGAGAGGGCGATGCTTTACTATGAGCTGGAAGACGGGCTGTACACCGCGGGGCCATATTTCTTTGCGAAGGTGACTGGGAGGGCTGAGTGTGAGTGAGCTGGAGGTCAGGGCTTGAGGCACAGAAAAGTGCACACCCTGTGGGCAGCTTGGGGTGCTGCTTCACCAGTGGCTGTCTTGTATTTCACAACCATGATGTTAAGCATTTCCCAGAAGGCCAGGACCCTACACCAAGAACAACAGTTTCCTGGTCAGCAGAAACCCATACAGAAGTTGTGGGGAGCTGAGATTGCAACAGTATAGCTCGCAGCTTCACTCTCTCTACACCCCTGGAAGCCGCTCAGCAGGGGCTGGCTCTCATTTTGAGAAAGGGGGTCCTCAGGGAGGTTATGCGACCATCTCACAGCCATACAGTGACTAGGTCTGGGCAGGGAAGGTGAAGACCAGGAGTCAGGTCTTAGGGGAGCAGTAGCCCCCTGCCATGCTCACCTCTGAGGGAAACATCTTTGAGTTGCCTGGAGATGCTCTTGCATGCATTCATGCCATGGGTCCCATTCGGCTTGCCTGCACCCACCTGCCCTGCAGCAGCCTGGTCAGCAGACAGAAAGGCTGGCATGGTGGGTTGCTGCCCTGAATGTTGAGGGGATAACAGCAAACTAAGTGGTTAATTCCACATCCATGCGAGAGTTGTCCATTGTAGATCCTAGGGGAGCTTCCAGAACACTGCGCCTACATCATCATCTATGGGATGCCCACCTACTGGCTGACCAACCTGCGCCCGGGGCCGGAGCCCTTCCTGCTACACTTCCTGCTGGTGTGGCTGGTGGTCTTCTGCTGCAGGACCATGGCCTTGACCACCGCAGCCCTGTTCCCCACCTTCCACATGTCCTCCTTTTGTGGCAACGCTCTCTACAACTCCTTCTACCTCACCGGGGGCTTCATTATAAGGCTAGACAACCTGTGGACAGGTGAGGCCTGCTTTCCTGGCCTGCTCACGTTCTTGAGGTTTCCAAGTGGCCAGGTGGAGTCTGCCACTTGTCTTTCCTCTGGAGAGAAAGCTTGTTGCTTGGGTGTGGAACAGGTGCCCTGGCCAGCTGTCCTGTATGCAGCTTCTGCAGGGCCCCGCAGAGGTCACCCTGGGCTCTCCCTCATCTCTACACTCACCAGTGTCAAGCCTGCCTCTCCGCTTGCCTCCAGCGAGCCCTAGCTTTATCTGACCTCTGACTACCGCAGACAGGGCCCAGAGAAGCTGGTCTTTCCAGATCTCCTCAGCAGAGTGTTCTGAGGCACAAATCCATGGAGCTGCTTTGTTAGGCCCCTGCTGGGTAGCTTCCTCCCTGCTGCCTCCGTCAGCTCTTCTGAAGCCCTCGTCACAGCCAGGACTCCCCATTCAGCTGCAGCCTCTCTTCTCAGGGTGCCAATGCCCACCAGCCTCCCCCTGCCAGGCCTTTCCTGGCGAACCCAGGCAGGATTGCTTGCCTCTTCCTCCTCTGCTCCTTCCCACGATACTGCCCCTGGGTGGGGCCCGCAGACTCAGCACTCACTGTGTGGGGGCTGCCGAGTTCCGTGAAGCTGCTGTGCCGTTGGGTGGAGTCACATGGGAGCTTGCAATGGGTCAAGCATAGGGAGGCCCTGATGCCACTCACCCCTCAGCTCCAGGCCACACCCCAAGCTGCCCGCTGTCTCCCTGCACTTTTTCTCCCCTCCTCCTTGCTCAGGGGACTCGCTTCCCTGGGTCAGAGCCACCCAGCAGCCTACCCAGGGTGCTTCCTGGGAAGCAGGTGTCTGGCAAGCGTGAATCTCATCACACACACCTCCCTGTCTTCAGTGCCTGCCTGGATTTCCAAATTGTCCTTCCTCCGGTGGTGTTTCGAAGGGCTGATGCAGATCCACTTTAAAGAGCAAACATATCCCTTGACAGTTGGCAACCTCACCATCCCTATCCGGGGAGATGATGTAAGTATCCAAAGGCTTCTAAGGGCTTCTAAAGGGATGGCACCCATAGGAGCATGTGCTGGCCGACTCACTGGTGTCTGTGTTCCCAGATCCTCAGCTACATGGGCCTGGACTCCTACCCGCTCTACACTATCTACCTCATCCTCATTGGCATCAGCAGTGGCTTCGTGGTTCTGTACTATTTGTCACTAAGGTTCATCAAACAGAAATCAAGTCAGGACTGGTGATTCACGTTCAGACTCCAGCTAGCAATTCGAGACTGATGCTTCACCCCCAGACTCCTGCCCTTTGCTGGGAGAGTCAAGGAGACCCGTCAGCGGCACTGCCTTCGCCCAGGGAGCCTCTTCCTCGGCATGAGGAGGACAGAACCAACACAGAACAGACGCTGGGCTCCGCCCGCTCGCCTACCTCAGGGCTGCAGTGGCACGGGCCTGCCACAGGATGGCAGTAGAATAAAGACAGACAAAAGGGATTTGTGATCGCTGGTTGGAGCTTGGAAACCATACCTCGGGGACACCTACAGTGTTGCTAATTTATTCCCTTTTATACCTGTTTATATAGTCAGCTCAGTACAGGGTGGGAACCAGTGAAGGGTGAACTGAGTACTTGGGCTCTGCAGGGATGAATGGGCCCAGGGGAACGTAACTGCTGACAGGATATTTGGCCTCTTCTTCAAGGGTCCCCAAACTGTGCTGCTCAGCCACGCTCAACATAGAAATGACCTAAAATACACCAGCGAGATGCCATCCCTTATTTTGGGTCAAGGGCCCAAAAGTCAAGTGACAATTAAAACTTTATTGAGTCTCTATCTTGCGCCAGGTTACAGCACGGCACAATTTATGGGGATCGCTCAATCCTCAAAACAACTCCACATGGTGGGCAGTAACCACTTTATAGATGAGGAGACACAGACACAGTCAGTCGGCAAGCCAGGTCACGTGACTGCCACGAGCAGGGGTATGTGGAGATGAGAAAAGCTTTCCAGCCTGTTAGGAGTTAGGGGCAGAAGGCAAGACGGAGCCTCTGGAACGCTAGGATGCCCAGGAGGCTCGAGAAGATGGCGAGAGCTGCATCTGACTGGCGTGGTCTGGGCACCCGGGCGCGGCCCTCTTAGAGTCCTGGGTGCTGAACGGAGCTGGTCCAGGACACCTGCCTTCTGCCTGTGCATCGAGGAGCAAGTGACAGGGCGCGGACAGGGGAGAGGCTGCTAGAAAGCCAGTCAGGAGCCCCAAGCAGCGGAAAGGTGGCCGTTTAAGAGGCAGATGTTTCCGTGGTTAGCATGGGCTGGGGAGGACATGGCCACACAGAACATGGCCGCTGGGCCAGCAGCACGGGGTTCCGGGCGAGCTGGCCAGGCAGGCAGGACCTTGCGCAGCCCTGCCGAGCCAGATTGACAGGTGATTTGTGTGTGGCTGAGCCTGAGGAGCAGCGCTCTGGCCCACAACCCTCTGCGCTGAAAGTACCACCTGGGTACACTGCACAGGTCACCCCATTCGGCGGCTAACCCGAGTCACGACCCTCTGGTCGTCTGACAACCGTCCTTTACTCCAAAGGCTGCAGGCTAGCATTGGGCATCAGATCTACTTACTCTGTTCTCTTTGATCTCTCACTGTAGAACTGTTGATTTTTGTGACCTTGACAGGCACCTTGCCCAGATTGGGTTTGTCTGCTCAATCCCGGTTCCACAGCCGTCACAGAAGCAACACAGACCTTTTCTGAGCAGCACATACCTTCTGCCACCGGGCCCAAGCTGGTGTCCACTCATCACCCATCAAAGGCGTGTCTTCCAGGTTCCTCCACTCAGCCACTAATTTCCCTCCTGTAGCTAATAATCACTCTGTAGGTAGTTCTTTGAAATCTTGTGAGTTGCCTGTTCCTCATTGAAACTTTGGTTGACACACTTACAAGTGTTATCCGTATAACCCTGTGGTCTCCTTTGTTATTCACTGGATTATAATGCTTTATTATTCATTTGGATGCTCAGAATGCATTTAATTATTCATTTGGATGCCAGATGCCCTGGCCAGGGTTGCCCACCCCAGCAGACTTCTGCCTCCTACTGATGTGCACCACCATTCCTTGAACACTTATATTGCAAGAAAATATTTCCAACTAGTTCAGGCTCCGATCCTGGAAGCAGACATTTCTCTAAAGAACTATGGCTCCTTTTAGAGGAAACTGGTATTTAGAAAGCAGGATGTGAGTGAGGAGTCCGATCTTCCTTCTGAGCCTTCGCTGCTCCTAGGCCCTCAGCCGCCCGCCCTAGGTAACTGGCACGTATGTGTACACGCATTCCTGTAGACTGCATCTATGTATGTGAATGTATGCTGTGCACACATGTGCCTCTGCATGTTTGCATGTATCACATGTTCACATCAGCCATCTTCAGTTCTAATCCAGTACCTTGACCTCTCCTTTGATAATTGTAACTTGGTGTCCTCTAAGTAGGAGGTGCCTGGCTTCTATATCCTTAGTATTTCATGCATGGGGCTCACTCGTCTGGTCCTCAATCTCCTGTCTACACCGCAGGCCTTCGGTTGGGTGGCCTCCTGTCTCTTCTGCTCTCTGACTCTTGGTCAACTGTCTTGGTGCTGCATGGATACCTTCCTCACCCGAACCTGGTCACCACAACTCCCCACAAGTCCACTGTGATCACTTAGTGGTCTTAGGCCTGGACGGTGAAGGGGGAAGTAGGCAAAGGACATCAGACTTTAACTCCCTGGTGACCGCAACGTGCAGTGAGAGCGGATGGCAACCTTGGTACCTCGGACGACTTTGTGAGTTACAGCCACTCTTAGTCTGCAAAGGACTTTCATAACTCAGGGCCTGAGGTGGGGAGGGGGCTAAGGGTCAAAGCTGAGCCAGGGGAGCTGGGGAAATGCCAGCAGCCACTGGACCTCTGTTTTTTTGTTGCATTTTCTTTTCTCTCGCGCATTCTAGTTCTCCATTCTGGAGCTTCAACAAATAATAGTGTGGACCCAGCCCCAGAGATTAATTCCAGGCTGTGAGTTCAGCAGAACCGCTTCTCTAGAGGCACTTCAGGGAGACCCTCCCTGCTCCAGAGGGAGTAGCCATCTGTTTCTGTGTGATTACCAAAGAGAGGCGCTGCAAACTCTTCTATTATTTAGCATTTATCAGTAAATATTTTAAGCTTTATACGCCATAGAGTTGCTATCAGAACCACTCAGCTCACTGAAGTGGCAGAAAAGCTGCCACAATTCTCAAGAATGGGGTAGTTTTATTGTAATAAAACATTCTACCAACACCCGGCACTGAGCTGGATTTGGCCCCAGGCTGTGGTCTGCAGCACCTTGATCAAAAGGGAAAGGTTTTACAATTTGCATTTTAAACCCTCCAATTTCCAGTGATGCTATTGATGGAGAAATTTTAATTAAGCAGAAAATAATTACCTATATGGACTCAAATATTTCCTGATGTGATTTTTTGAAAACCGTGTTTGTTCCTGTAAAGATTATTAGCGCATAATCTTGCTTTGGGTCAAGCTAGTCTCCCCGGTCAGGCTTACAGAAGTAGATCTTGCATTTGCTTTTTCCTTTCTTGTTTTGACCCCAGATGAAACAGCGAGCATGGCTAGGGGTTTTATTGAGACTTAAATTAGTTGCTTAGCACAACCCACAGGTGTGACTCCTGGCCGTGAACCTGGAGCACGAGGCTGACAGAGAAGTGAGAGAGGGACTGGGATTGGGGCTGAGGAAGCATTTTGTTGCTTGACCAGTGCTTTTTAAAGGAAATACAGCCAAGGCTTTTGCCTCCAAGTATTCTTACTTGTCTGTAGTTTACTTGGTAATTCAAAAGCCCAAGTCATCAGTTGTTTTTTAAAAATTTATTTACTTATGCATACAGAACTGGGGTACAGGCCAGAGGTGCAGTGGGTAAGCAGATTCACCAGAGACAGAGTGGGGAGCAGAACAGGCAGATCTATAAAAATACACTGCTGAGGGGAGCAGCGGGCGGGCCAGGAGAGGTCTGCTGTGCCATGTGGGTCAGCTCCCTGGTGGGGGATTGAACTCGTGCTGCTGTGGCATTGGAGCGCTTTTCTTTTTTTATAAAATTTATTGCAAAATTTCTTACTCACCCCAACAGCTAAAAAGCTCTATTGTCCCATGTAACAAGGAAAGCTGGTTAGTTTTGCTTGCATCATGCTTGTGTGTGTCCTGGTTGAGGTTGTCTGCCTTCTGCCACAAACTCAAGAGGCCTCTTCCTGGCAGCAAACTGAAAATATTTTCCTATGGGCACAGGGTATTTGTTTTTTAAAAATAATAGTCGTTTATTTTTACATCATTTTGTGCATTTTTCCATCTCAGTTGTAATCCCCTTGGGCTTCCCATCACCAAATCAGGGCACAGTGTCTTTTAAAAGAACTTCTTGGGTATCAAGTTTCTAGCTTTCCTAGCTCTAAGCTACAAAATGCTATCTTTGATGTCTCCTGAAGATGAATGCTTGTGAGGAAACCCCCTTCCCCTATCCCAAAGGCAGCCACAAACTGGGCCCATTGATTTGATACTGGGTGACCAGGAGCACTAATCCTGGCCTATTGCTTCAGCCACCGGTTACAGATTTATGGCTGCTCACTGGGTGCCTGCCAGAGAGACTCCCTGGTGGGCCTGCAGGGCTCCCCGAGAGCTCATGTACTTGGGGAGGAGACAAGTAAATAATGAGAATTTCAGAAAGCCTTATCTTGGGAGCAGAGTCGGATAAGACAATTTTAAGAGAAGAACACTAAGGATGGATCCCTAGAGCCAATCCTTGTCCAAATATTCAGGGGCAACAAGTCTGAAGTTGGTTAAATGTTTTTGCTCTACCTGGACTCATGATGTGTCTTTTCTTCATGCAAAAAAGATAAGTGCCTATTTTGAATTTGCTAATGCAACCATTTCTTTTATTTTGAACTAAGGCTGCATAATGTGGGCTTTGTAAAGTCTGCAGCCCTGAAAGCAGGATACATTTCTAATGGAAACCTCAAGTGCATTATTGTACAACAGCAAGGCGATAAATTACCGTGATTTTGTACCCCCTGCGGCTGCTAGTTCTACCATACTTCAGGAATGTTGCTTTCCCTTATAGAAACCATAAATATTGCTTTGTCAAGAAGACAAATATTAAATGAAAATTGTGCTCAGATACGAGAAAGTGTGCAGAGTACACACATAGCAGAATTGAGAAATAAATTGCACTGAGTATAATTTGCAGTAAGAAGCTTGCTTAA